AGATAGGAAACGTGTAATAGATAGTTTGTACTTGACATTTGATGAATAAATAAAATTGTGTTATTTATGAGTAAAGCTACTATCTTGTGTTGGTTATTTATCTATTGTTTGAATTTTGCATGTTTTGACTTCCTGAATGATAGGATTATTCAAACAGTCCACAGTCGGTCATATTTTGGAAGTAGATATGAATGAAGACTGTCATGAATTGTTTGTAGATTGTCTAAAAGGTTTTGGTCATAGCAAAGGTTTGCTGCAAAGTTCATGAGTGCTTATGAATATGATTTGAGCATTGGAATAAACCCGCGTTTGCTGGTATCACTTCGTGGTGTTTTGCCTTAAGTGATCGCAAAGCGATAATATCATATAGTCTTAAAACTCAGAGATATGGTTGTTGTTTGCTAGTTGGTTATACATTGATGATGTGTAAACGCATCAGTAAATTGATGTTATAAAACGTATTATTGTGCATGATTCAATTAGTGAATAATAGATGCATATGAGTCGAAGTTGATATGTTCCATTTACTCTATGAGAATAAAAGTGATATCTTGGCCACTTGATGATTTGGTTTGACTTATGTGTCGGGCCCGGTCGGAGTGAAGTTGATGTGTTCAACTAAATTCTATGTCAAACAAATCGGAAATCGAGAAACAAGTGCTGGATAATAAGCATTGTCAGCATGATATCTAGAACGGAGGATTATACGATCCCTTATCTGAAGGACAAGTTGATCAGAGTTGACAGCGAAGTATAAGAGCTACGATTGCTAATCGGATTTTGAAGTCATATGTGAGATATAGTTACTAGACTTATCCAAGTGGGAGACTGTTGGAATAGTGTCTAAGCCCGTAACTATATTTGGTATGTACTTAACCCGGTTGTGCATGGTCCTTTTAGGTTGCCTTCTCCAAAGCAACTTGACTAGGTAATTTAAGGAGAAAGAGAGAATATTATGGTTTATTAATATATTATAAGAATAATATATTAAATGAGAAATCATATTTATTTAATTAGTATTAGTCATAAATTAATTAGGAATTAATTTGGTGACTAAAAGAGATTAATTAAATAAAGGGGTATAAACTGTCAAATGTATGATAGTTAAGTTTTGGGTTAAGGAAACCTAATGGACTTAAGGGGGAATGAAATTATGATGGGGATCCATCATATTTTCGTCCAAGGCCTTATTCCAGAAGGTTCTTTGGGCTGCTTGGTGGCTAAGCTGTCCATTAGGGTTTAGACTGAAACCCTAGTAGCCTGCAAGTATAAATAAGACCCCTAGGCTATGGAAATCGGCTAGACTTCATTCTAAGAGAACCCTAGGGCCGATTTCTAGCACCTCTCACCTTCTCTCATATTGCCTTCTTGCCTGTGGGGTTTGTGAACCATTAGAGGAGTTACAATTGTGACTCTAAGCTCAAGATCAAGAAGATTACAAAGGATTCAAGCTACTTGAAAGAGGTAAACCACTTAGATCTGTTTTCTTTATGATAATTTCGAATTATATATGATAGATCTAGTTTTGTAAGTCTTGGATTCAAAGCATGTACAATAGAGACTCGTTTTGTTGAGTCCCCCCTCCAGGACTCATCTAAGTCCCTTCGAATCAGAAAAGGTTGGGGAACCCAAACCCCTGACTCGCCGAGTCCCATGAGAGACTCGTCGAGTCGACTTATGTCCAAGTCCATAACTCGATTTCTGTTGTGCAAAACTCATCCAAAAGGTAGATCTGGGCTCCTAATGCCTATATAACACGTAAAGTCATGAACTTTACGTCCATGCATGGGTCCTTAGGCTCAAAAGACTAAAAAATGAGATCTACAAGATGCATGGGGGTTCTAATGGTCATAATGTTGCACCTTTATGCCATGAAACCCTTCCTAGGACCTAGATCTGAGATATGAACCACTTGGGACGTCCCAACACCAAGGACCAAGGTTTTTGAGCCAAAACCTTCTTAATATGGGAGCAAATAGATCTAAGAGAAAGAAGATCAAGTTGGAAGCTTGATTACCAGAAAAGATGGCAAATGGGGTGTAGTTCCTGGATCTACTCCTTCTCCCTTGAGTCTTCTATCTTCCACTTCTTCCATTAGCTTCAAGACACACCAAATAACACTCAAAATAACCAAGAAAGCTCAAATTCACTTATGAAGGATTAGGGTTTCGGGATTTATGCTCTGGAGGTGATGGAGGTTGGAATAGAGGCCCATAATGTTGCTTAAATAGGGTGCAAACCCTAAATATTAGGGTTTCACTCAACAGCTCCTACTCGCCGAGTCGGGACTTCGACTCGTTGAGTAGGTCACTTAATCCCCCGACCTGGAGTTGATCCTACTTGACGAGTTGGGCTTCCAACTCGCCGAGTCCAAGAGTAAAAATATGAAATTTGGCTTGAATTTAAATGCGTACCTGGGGTCGGGTGTTACATAGAACTTGGTCCTTAAATCCTCCATACACCAAACTAAAGCTTACAACCTCAGATCTAAACCCCTAACACTACTTGGGAATGTAAAGTTCCCACCTTTTCCCCACATGCATGGCCTTTTGGGCTAAAAAAGGCCAATATGACACTCTATGGCTTGTATGGGGGGCTCCAAGGGCATAAAGTTTGCACCTTTATGTCATAACAACCCCTCTAGGTCCTAGATCTGGAAGGTTATCCACTTGGGTCGTCCATTCTCCAAAGATTATCATTCTTGAGCCAAAACCTTCATAAAAGGGGAAGGAAGAGATCTAATGAACTAGAGGTCAAGATAGGAACTTGATTACCAGAAAATGTAGCCAAAGAAGTGTAGTTTCTGGATCTACTCTCTTCCTCTTGAGCCTTCTAACTCCTTCTTCTTCTTCAAGCTTCAAGAACACAAAAGATTGCTTACAAATAGCTCACATACTCACAAGATGCTCTAGGGTTTCTTGGATTAGGGTTTAGGACAAGGGGCTGTAAATTAGGCTAAGGGGTGGGGGTTAAGGAGCTTAAATAGGGTGCGAAACCCCGAAATTAGGGTTTCATTCTGGCCGATCTACTCGCCGATTCGAGGGCTCTTGACTCGTCGAGTAGATAGTTTAAACCCCGCGCATAATTTGTCTTCTACTCGACGAGTTAGGGCCACCAACTCGTCGAGTCCCTCTCTTAAAATGAATAAACAAATAAGTTAAATGCATACTAGGAACCAGATGTTACATTGTCGAAATCCACTTTAAATATCATAGCCTTTTTCTTCACTTTTTTAGTCCAAGAGTACACTTCATTGAGTAAAAGAGGGTCATCCAAGATGCTTCTCCCACTCACATATGTTGATTGCTCCAGACAAATCTTTGTAGATAACGTTTTAAGGCGGTTTTCAAGAACTTTAGAGAGAACTTTATAGAGACACCCAATGAGATTCACCGGTCTATAATCCTTAAGCGTAAGAGGATCATTAATTTCCGGAATTAAATAGATAAAAGAAGAGTTACATCCCCTAGCTAACATGTCGGAATCACCAAAATCTTTTACAAACCTAATCACATATTCTTTAATTAAATCCCAAAATTGCTTCAAGAATTTAAAAGTGAAGCCATACGGATAAATAAAGTGTACTGTATGTACATTTCTTTTAACCCAGTGGTATCTGGTGTTGCCTTTTCTCTTTGAGGTCGAAATTTCAAGTCTCGTTAAAGACATAGGTAGAATTAGAAGTAATTTATAGGAATAGATTACATTTGCCGTTACATATATATATATATATATATATATATATATATATATATATATATATAGAGAGAGAGAGAGAGAGCTAGGTTCAAATGTAGATCCATATATATATATATATATATATATATATATATATATATATATATATATATATATATATATATACCCTAATAAAAGAATCCATATTTTTCCACTGGGCATCTTCTCATTCCAAAAAATTTCAATGTGAACTTCCAAAATTGCCCTTCTTCTCTTTTAAACTCTATCTTACGTTTTCCCTCTTCGGTATCATTCACATTCAAACTACACGAACAAGAAATCAGGGAGTGCTACAGGAATCTTCACTAAATTAGCATTACAAAGGTAATCCATTCCAAATTTGTCGGTCAATTTCTTTATTTAGTCTATTTGCTGAAGGTAATCGAACAGTTTTTAACCCTAATTTTTAGATCATTTAACAAGAAAATTTTAACTAAGGTATTATTTCTTCTTTTCTTTCTCAAGTCTTTTATGGGAAAAGTGGTCCTCTGATTGTGTCAGTAAACAAGTTTCTTGCTTTCTTTTCACGTTGATTGGGACTGAATTCTGCAAAAAGGTCCTCTGTTTGTGTAATGTGTTTCTTTTTTGATTAATTCATTGTAATTGTTTTCTTTTCAGGTCTTATCTTCGGCTAGGTTGGTGTTGTCTGTTGGAAGTTTTAGAAAAGCATTTGGTGCCTTCCATATTGGATTTGAGAGTTTGAGGTAAGAGATTCGAAATCTGATTCTCTTTTTATTTTCAAACGGGAAAGATATTCCAAATTTTTTCATATTTCTATGATCATCATCTTCTTCATCAAAAACTTTATTTGTGACTTTTTTTTTTTTTGCTACAATGACGTATGTGGTTAGAACTACATCATACTTTTCTCAACATGATCTTTTGTTCTAATTCCAGTATGATAGACTAGGATCTTTGGTCTTAAAACTCTTTTGTTCTACTAATTCCATTATGATAGACTAGGGTTGTCTTTTTAGCCACATACGTATTTAAATTCACTGGTGTCTTTTTGTCTAAATTGTTTTTCTTTCTAACATGTGGTTTCCACGGGTGCATTAGATATCGCTCAAATGCAATTGAGTGGGTTCCACATTGTAGTTTCCAGGAAAAAGAACACACGTCAAAATTCAAAACAGTCCAAGTCCGAATCCAAACCTCTACTTTCAAAGTAAACGAAGTCAATTCCCATCATACCCTGCCATACGCCCCCCTACACGATATAAACCCCTACCATTCCTACAATAATTTCATTTTTACCAACCCCTAAATCCAAAGCCCTTTATTTCCAAAATGTCACCGTCAACCGAAACCAAAACAGCCATGGCCAAAACAGTCATCTCCACCATAGGTTCTGTCGCCGCTGCAGCGATGGTGCTTCGCAGCGTCGCACGCGATTACTTGCCACCAGAATTCCAAGACTACCTCTTTTACGGCTTCCGCAGTTTCATCAACAAGTTCTCCACACAACTAACCATGGTGATCTACGAATCTGATGGGTTTCGTGATAACGAGATTTACAACGCCACCGAACTTTACCTCGCCACCCGAATTTCTCACGAGATCCATCGTCTGAAGATCACCAAAAATCCCAGCGAGAAAAAGATCAACGTAGCCATGGAAATCAACGAGGAGTTTACCGATGTTTACAATGGAGTGAAATTCAGGTGGTCTTTGGTTTCTAAGAAAACGCCGACGAGAGAATACTACAATAACGATGATATGAGCGGATCTTCCCGATCCGATCTTCGATTTCTCGAGCTTTCATTTCATCGGAAACACAAGGATCTGGTGTTGAACGAGTACCTTCCGTTTATAATCAATGACGCGAAAACGAGGAAACAAGAAGAGAGAAGCGTGAAGCTATTCACCATCGATACGAAGACGGTGTACTCCGGCTATCCAACGGTGTGGACGTCGGTGAATCTAGAACATCCGGCGAATTTTGACACGTTGGCGATGGATACAGATATTAAGGAGAAGGTGATGAAGGATCTGGATAGGTTTATACAGAGAAGAGAATATTATCGGAAAGTCGGAAAGGCGTGGAAGAGAGGCTACCTGTTGTATGGTCCACCGGGAACGGGGAAATCAAGCTTGATCGCTGCCATGGCGAATTACTTGAAATTTGACATCTATGACTTGGAGTTGACTGATATAAAGTCAAACTCGGACCTGCGGCGGTTGTTGGTGGCAACGGCTAACCGGTCCATACTGGTGGTGGAGGACATTGATTGCTCGGTGGAGTTGCATGACAGGGTTGAAGCAGAAGCGGCGAAATCTTTAGCGAAAGAAATGCGACGGCGAGGTTATCCGGAAGAACGTAAGGTTAGATATTCGAAACTTTTGCGTAAGTATGAATAAAATTATCAATTCTAGTATTAGTGAAGTAGCAAAATCTTTAATTATAAACAATGACTTTCCTTATAAAACTAGTAATCGTGATTTTAACTGTTAATGATAGTTGTACATAAAATTATATAATGAATATTCTTGTAAAAATGCGATTTTGACCGATTGACGTTTTTTAATGTATAAATGCAAGAAAAACATAACAGTCAATGATATATATATATATTATATTATGAATATGAATATATCAGAATTTTCAGCATTTAAAGTTTTAAACTATATTTATATAAAATATATAATATGAAAAGGTGATGTATATTGTAATATTTAATAATTGTTTGGCCATAAATTACAAAAATAGTTTTTCTAAACGACCTACTCGATTTTAATGGAAAAAAAACTATATTCAACTCAGTTAAAATGTAGTATATTGATTGTAATAATAAACAACTTTTCTCATTTTTTTTCCATTCTAGTTAACTATTTGTTTTATTGTCATTCAATTATGATTTAAATATGGATACGTTGTTTCTTAAAAAAATTGCTTAGAATCAAAACATGAACATAATAAATTAATAACTATGCATTTTTCACAGGTAACTTTATCTGGATTTCTCAATTTTATTGACGGATTATGGTCAAGTTGTGGTGATGAAAGGATTATCATATTTACCACAAACCGAAAAGATAAGCTCGACCCTGCACTTCTTCGCCCTGGTCGTATGGACATGCACATCAATATGTCATACTGCACTCCATGCGGATTCCGGTTGCTCGCCTCTAACTATCTGGGGATCACTGAACATGGTCTTTTTGAACAAATTGAGGATTTGATTAGCAAGGTGGAGATTACCCCGGCTGAAGTAGCAGAGCAACTACTGAAAGACGATGATCCTGACATTGCTCTTGAGGGCCTCATTGATTTTTTCGATGTGAAGAAGAAGGAGAATGAAGAGGCCAAAGCAAAGGCAAAAGAAGAAGAAGAATTGGCCAAAGCAAGGGAAAATGAAAAAGAAGAAGGAGAAGGAGAAGAAGAAGAATCAGCTGCAAATGAGAATTGAAAGAAGAAATAAGTTTAAAAAATAGATGATTATATATTTTAAAATACTAGTTGTGAGACTCGTATGTTATACGGGTTTAGTAAAACAAAAAAATATACTCCCTCCGTCCCAATATTATTGTCCACAGATAAAAAACACACAGATTAAGAAAAACATTTATTTAAATTTGAAATTTAAAATTTAAAATTTGAATTTAAAAGGAAACATATTAAATACAATATATAAGTATTAATATTGTAATTTATTAACTATTATTAATTAAGGCAATTATTAATTGATGTGTAAATTTGATTTGTTAATTAAGAAAAGATAAAAAATGATAAAATGACAAATGGAAAAACATTTATTCAAAAATACTAAAAAATGATATGTGTCCAAGTTAATGTAAGAGTGACAAGTGGCAAAAAAACCTTCAGAGAGGATATGAGTTTAGTCCGTGCAAATCATATGCAAAATCTATTTTATAAATTAATATTAATTAATAACTAAATTAAGTTAAATATTTCGTTTTCAAGTCATAATTCACAGATCTATGATGATATTGTTTGAAGTTAATTTGTTTTAAATAGATATGTACTTGCATGAAATACAGTAAATGTGAACGTTAGGCTAAACAACAATCCAATGTTAAAATTCATCTAAGCAATGAGTTAACACAAAAAGATGTTGCTATGTTAGTTCCACAAATAAGACAACACTCAACTCAAACATCTTATGCTAAGACAACACACTTATCTATTTCCCCTTAAGCCGCTCAAAGGCTACTTTCTAAAAAGTAATCCCTAAACATCAACCTTTTACTTTCTTAGGAATAAACTCCTAGTCAATTAATCCATTGACATCATTATTTTTAGCACTTACATGGCTTAAGCCTAAGTGCAACGTCAACATCTAATTCACCTACCCCCATACTATAAGCTTTTTAGGGAAACAATTCCCAATTTGCCAATCACTTTAAGCATAATTTCTATAAGCATTACTACCACTTTTAGCTCTAGGTATTACATCAATACCTAATTCACATCAACTGATGTTCAAAATCGAATGGTTAAATCTCTATAAATCCTAAGAAGTGGAAAAAGAAAATAGAATATGTATAATATCACTAAAATTGGAAATCTCATATAATGAAAATCGATTTGGTTAAAATCCCAAATATTAGTCTAAACGAGCAAGCACAAATCAAATTCAACCATAAATAAATAATTGCACCAAGTCTTTTTTTGGTGTAATGCTAGGTTTAAAAAAAACATTAAAGTGATGGGATAACTTCAAAATCCGCAACTTGCTATTATGTAATGTTTTCTTTTTGTCCCGACTGGTTTCTTGCTAGTCCGGGTTTTATTATATAAAATTGTTGTTCGAAAAAAATTTGCAATGTAATAGACTATATCCTCAGACAACATAAAAAAAATATGTTGGTATGTGTGTTGATGATGCTCTAAAACATTTTTCTTGCATAAACAATGTGTTGTTGTCACCGCAACTTTTAGCATGAAATGTTATGTTTGACTATGTTGTATTAGGCATTATTTTCCTTTTATGCAATCTATTTTCCATTGGTGTTGCATATTCATCAGTTTATATGGAATCCAAAAATATAATTAATTTTTGGATAAACAATGTGTTATTGTATAAACAATGTGTTGTTGTCACCACAACTTTTAACAGGAAGTGTTGCATTTGACTGTATTGTATTAGGTATTATTTTCCTTTTATGCAGCCTATTTGCCATTGTTGTTGCATATTTATCAGTTTATATGGAATCCGAAAATATCGTTATTTTTTGGATAATCAATGTGTTGTTGCATAAATAATGTGTTGTCACCACAACTTTTAACAGGAAGTGTTGTGTTTGACTGTGTTGTATTAGACATTAATTTCCTTTCATGCAACCTACTTTCCATTGTTGTTGCATATTTATCAGTTTATATGGAATCCGAAAATATCATTAATTTTATAGTTATTAGGACTCATAGGCATAGTTTATAAGGAATGTTTTTTTTTCTTATATGGTTTTTGAGTATGATTAGTATTTTTGTGAGACTATTATATAAAGCCCTTTATATCATTTATTATTATATCTTTTTTTATTTTCTCCTTGTAGTTTTATCAGCCATATTACTGTCTAATAAGATTTTCGTTTTATAGTGGTTTTTTTCAATTTTAGATTTCTACTTTATATCGTGGTGTTACGTTGTTCTTCATGTTAGTTTCTTGCGTTCCAAAGATCGTCATATTTATCTTAGGTGTTCTTTGTGGTGTTACATTGTTATTCATGTCAGTTACTCGATTTTTTTATAATGACAAAGAAAACTCATTCTCATGATTAATCGGTAAATAATCTTTGATTTGTATCACGACCAAAGACCCACCGAATTACTAAGTGGAAATTGTATTATATAAAAAGTTAGGAGATTTTATTAATTAATACAATTGTACTTATATAACTAGTGAAGAGGCATGTGCCTTGCACGGGTCATATTTTTTTTGTTGATGTTTGGTGGATCAGATATATGAAAATCCAAAAAACAAATATACTTAGCATTATTTTAGCAATAATAGTAGTGTACTTTAATGTTCACTCATTATATCAACGTACTTATAATTAAATGTCTACAAATTACAAAATAAAAGACACTTTCCATTATATCATGAAAAAATAAACTTAAAAATTAACAAAAAGAAAAGGAATGTAAAAGAATGGGCACTAAAAGTAAGATGCTATAAAAAAATCACAAAAACTACATAATTATTTCTTATCCAACTAATGCATTATTTATAACATTAGTAAAAGCACAAAAAGGTTACCTAGAATCATCTTTCTCCCTAGGAAACCATCTGCCAACTTCCTACACTTTGTTAATCTTAAACAAAAGTGCAAAAACATCCCTACACTTTTAATGGATCTGATAGTTACCTTAACAGAAACTTGTCAAAACATAAACAAATATTAACAAAATACATAACATTCATTGTTTCATTTTCTGTTACAACAACATTGTATAGGATTATGTATCTAAGCCAATAACTAAATTGGTATATATTTGAATTAAAAGCAAAGTCATTTTGGGTTGCCCTCAAATCTAGCAATTGACTAGAATGACTTTTGGAGAGAGAGAGATAGAGAGAGACTGATTTATTGGTTTATTATATGATTAATAAATAGAAATAAATGATATATTAATATATTATGAGAATAATATATTAATTAGAAATAATATTATTTAATTAAGAATTAATCAGAAATTAATTGAAATTAATTTTGGGATTAATTTGATTAATTAAAAGTGTAAGGACTAAAGTTGTAATTGTTCAATAGTTGAACAAAAGAGGAATTCTAGAATATTCCTAGGGTTTGCCGAAATTTGGAGGCTCTGTAGGGTTTCTGGATCCTTCCATATAGATACTATGGATAATTAGAAAACTAGATAATTCTGGATTTGAAATAATATTATTTTATTTCGAATTAGGGTTTCTAGGGTTTTCCTATCAGCTATAAATATGGTCATTTGGCTCCCCATTTTCGGCCACTCTTTCTACCAAGAGAATAGCCGAATTTCACCATCCCTTCTCCTTTCTCCTCAAGTTTTTCTTAGTTGCTAGGGTTTGAGTGTGAACCATCAGAGGCACGAGATTTCTGATGCTCGCTTTCTGGAATCTATTGAAGAAAGGATTTGATTGATTATTTGCAATAATAATCAAACGTATGTAAACCCTAAATCTTTTATGATTTTCGATAATCCTAGGGTTTCTGTAGGGTTCTTTGATGTTCATAGTTTATAGCATTCAATAGTGAAAACATAGATCCAATTACGTTGCATGTGAACTTAAGAGTTAAGTTATTTTCCGCCACATAAATTTTGTAACCTATAAAACCTATCACATTGTACTTTTGTTTTTTTCTAATTAGGGCATTGTACTTTGAAAGGTTTATTATAATTAGCGCATTGTACTTACATTATTAATAAACTTACTTAAGTTCAAGATTCAATAAGTAACTTCAAATTTCATCATCTACACAACAAAACTGTTAACAACTTAGAAAATATATGGTGGTGAAGGACAGAATTATAATTGTTTTTCTTTACATTTTAACCTTTAGGTGTTCAACGGATGAATTAGAGTACAGTACATTGTATATTAGAGTTTTTTTTACTAAAAATTCTAAAAGTTTTTGAAGTCCTAAAATCTTAAAAGAAGCTTACATTTCATCCTATCTGTGTGCCCAAACTATCCCCCAATAATGTTTTTTATGTAATTTTAAAGTGCAGGCCCAGGCTAAACTATACATGAGGAACACAAACCATAACAAACTGCACACAACAAAACTTTCAAAATGAAAATATAAAAATATTGATTTTAAAATTGTTAAATTTCATGAAGCAAAAAAACACTAACATCAACATCATTTATCAAATAACATTTGTATCCAGTGAAATAAACAAGTGGCGGTGGTGGCGGTGGTGGTGGTGGTTGTGGAGATGGTGATGGTGGTGGTGGTGGTGGGGATGTTGTTATTTTTGTGTAATCATTCAAAGTAATGGATTGAACTCTTTCTTCATCAACACTCACTGGTTAAAAGTTTGTGATCGAATCATTCTTAATTCTAAGCTTTGGATATGAACTTCTTATGGAACTTCACCTGCAGATTAACCGTAAAAAAAATAATAAATAAATAAAACTTTAAAGTGATAAAAATGAATTTTTACGAAAGATAAAGATGGTAAATTGAGGTGAAAATGTACAAAATGCAATCAAATTAAAAACCCATAGATGAATTGAGGTCAAAATCAAGAATGATACAGTTAGTTGATAAAATGAATTTTTAGCACCGACAAAAAAAGAAATATGAATTGAGCTAAAACCATACAAAGTACTCCATATAGAAACATAATTTAGCTCAATATTAACCAAAATTAAGCGAATATTTGATTAAAATGAGATTCTCAGAAACCAAGAAAGTAAATTTGGGTTAAAAATGTACAAATTGCAGTGAAATTTGAAATGCATAAAAACAAATCGCTCTAAAAAGTTGCAAAATTCAGTTACAATTGATTTCAATGAATTATTTTCATAACCCAATAGAGAAAAATTGTGCTAAAAGTTGCAAAATGAGGTAAATTTACAAACATAGAAAC